TCTTCGGTTGTCTTGCGTTGCCTTGGAGGCCTTACTTGGGCATCGGAGTCCCTTTTGGAACCATCTTGGGCGACAAAGGACCCCCTAACACCTCGCGACACCCTGTCAAGAAAAACCTTGGGGAGGAGAGGTAGAGGGTATCCCTCCCCGGAGGGAAGAGAGTCTTTGGAAGACGGACGACAGAAGTCGCTAGATCACCTGAGTACAAAGGGCTGGTGGCATGCCAAATATAGCAACAGAGGATCCTATACTTCTGCTTCACATGGACATTCGTGTGTTGTTGGTTTGAGGTCGATCATCGCGCAACCAGCAGCAACGAGGAGTCCGGAGCAGCAGCACAAGGACAGCGTCTCAGGAAGCCCTCCGATGGGAGCCCCGCGGCAGCCTCTCCGCCTCGGGCCGCGCGTGTGCTTTCTGCTGTCGCTCGCTGCGGTGGCGCCACCTGGCTGGCGGAGGAAATCGTGTGTGTGTGTGTGATGCACAGTACCTCGCGCGGCCCGTTTGGACTTTGACACGCCGCTGTTGCGCTCTCGCTCGTGGCTGTTGACAAAAAATGTGGTTGTGTGTGCTTGGACGTGACCTCTCTGAGGGCCGGGCCACGCGCGTCCGCTCCCGCCGCTTCGGCTTCGGCGTACTCCGCCTCGTCGCTGCGCGGGAGGCTGCGGCCGCCAAACGAGTGTGTGCTTGTGTGTTTGTCTGCTGCCCCCTCCTTCGGCCGCGCCCTCCTCCTGCCTCCCCTTCTTGCATGGTGGCACAATTCGCCATAACGGCACCCCCGTTTCAGCCTGTCCGCTAGCGCAGACTTTTCCTGCCTCGCCGCCGACAGGAAGAAAGTGTTTGCTCGGTCGCTGTATACCTTGTTTGCTTCCCCGTCGTGTTCGCGTCGCGCCTCCCAAATAGGCCGCCACTATGGGCGGCGGCCAGTGCACTCGCCTTTTTCCCCGCCATCCACGCCTGGACGGAAATTTGTTGCCCCTCCTCTGAACCGGTGCGCGCGTGCACCTGCACGGCCGCCGTGCTTGATTTGTTTCGCTTCGTCGCCGCGCGCGAGGCCGCGGCAGCTCAAAACTTGTGTTTGTGTCAGTTTGTGCGCGTGCGTGTTCCATCGACCCCGCGGCAGCTCGCCCTGCCTGAACCCGCCGCGTCGTTGCGCGCGGGGCCGCGATGCCGAGAAGTGTGCGTTCCACTGCGACGTAATTGCCAGCTGTTGCCGGCTTGGCTTTTTTTTTCCAGAAGGCCACCCGCAAGCGGTTGTTTTTATTTTGGCTTCGGGGGTCCTTTAGCGTGTGTGTCAGTGCATGCGACCATGTGTGCTTCATTGTGTTACATCCTAGCGCTCTCGCAAGTTAGGCCTGCTGTCCGAAGGCACTCCTGCGGGCGCTGATTCGTATTGGGGTCTGGGCTGTTTTGCGGCCTTGGGGCCATCTGGCGCCCTCTGCGCCGCTGGCCAGCAAAGTGTCATGGCGCCCGGCGCCTACCAGCCCAAAAGGAAAGAGACCGAGCATAATCAGTGAATGCACGCGACATTGTGACCGATAACGTAGTGCAGCCGAAATTGAACACGACGTTGATTTAGGGCTGTAGAGGACGATCAACGGAGAGGCAGCATGTTGCCAAATAATTCCCGTATGTCTAAAACATGTGCTACACATGTTTAAACATAAGAAAACATGTCCGACACATGTTTGAACCATAATTAGAACATTGTTCCGACCTTGCAAACACATGCGGAATTCAATGGTAGGACTGTTCGGGTGTCCATTGTCGTGGCATCCACAAACTTAGTGCTAAGCAACTTCGGCCACGCTCGGGCGCATTCGGGAATCTTGAGGCACAGGTTTCCGACACACTCGGGAGATTTTCGGGCACAGATTCGGTCACAGCAAACCCTGGTACAGACGAGGCAACTTACGTGGAAACTGCGGGTGTTGCCAGGGGTGCCCGCGGACCGCACAGACGTGGGTCGCTGCTTCATGCGTTGCTCTGTGTGTGAGTGTGTGAGTGTGTGAGTGAGTGAGTGAGTGTGTGTGTGAGCGTGTGTGTGTGTGTGTCAATGTGTGTGAATGTGTGTGAATGTGTGTGTGTGTGTGGGGGTGAATGTGTGTGAATGTGTGTGAATGCGTGTGAATGTGTGTTGTGTGTGTGTGAATGTGTGTGTGTGTGTGTGTGTGTGTGTGAATGTGTGTGTTGCCAGGGGCGTCCCTGGGCCAGGGTGCGTCTGGAATCCCCAGGGAGGCCCGGAGGGCCTCCCTGGGAGCAGCCCCCTCGCGAGGCGCAGAGCGCCCCCAGAGGGGCTGCGGCACCTCTGGAACAGGGACACTCTTCGAGCACCCCCTGGAAAACGATCTTAGAGTTCCCAAACATCCAGCGTCTTGAGAAAGACAAGACGCAGGTTTTTCTAAACTTTCGGCCTCTAGGGGCCCTCGCCGGGCCCCCGGACCTTCAAGAAACTACTCAGGACGAGAAACCGGTCTTGGGGAATGGGTCGAGACTTCAGGCGACCGCTTATTGAAAAAAACACGACGTCGGATCTCTGAGGAGTTCGTGTGGTCTCGCACCGGCCTGATCAGCCGGGCCTGGGCAGACAGAGGCAAGTCAGTGCAGGTCTCGCCATCCTACTTCCAGGTTCTCGTGGACACGTCGTGTGCCTCACGGGCATGGCACATTCGGTCGTGCTTCGATGCCTGCTGGGGGTGGTGGTGGGCAGAACTTGCTGTTCACTAGTTCTACAGGCTCTCGGGGCGGATCGGGCCGGGGTGCAGGAATAGATCGCCCCTCGCGGCGCGCTGAGGAGCTGGATCGCGCCAGCGGGTTGGCCTTACGCGCGGAGGGGGGGGGGTCGGACCGGGCCGTCGGGCGGGGGAGGCGTGCGGGGTGGCGCTCACCGGACAGCGCGGGGTGTGGCCTGCTCCCTTCCGGCACGAACGGAATGGGTAGTATTAAGTCGGGCCTGTCTCTCTACAGGAGGAGAATTCAAAAAAATTGGTCCGGGGAATATGTTTCGAGCATGTTTTGGCTATTTCCCGTTATTGTTTGAGTACTCTTGATTTTTTGTGTGTCCAAAATCCGCCTGTAGGGGGACATGCCCAACCTAAGGGTAGTACGGCAAGAACGGGTACAAGGCCCAACAGCAGTTCTTACTCCTTCTGACCAGGACTCGCTGTCGGCGCCGCCGCGGACGTGGTCCACTTGTGAGAGAGAAGGAAGGCCGCATGCCCAACAGCGGCCGCTGTCGATGTTGGACAACATGTGTTGTCGGGCCTCGTGCATATTTGTTCCGTACAGTGGAGACGCATGCCAAGAAACACCTTGATTGCCTCCAGGGTGCGTTGGGTTTCTTGGGTTTCGATGGTTTTGCTATGGAAGGCGTAACGTTACCACACCAAACAGCGATGGACGTCCTGGGTTCTCAGGGTTGGCTTTCTTGTGGAAGGTTTCTTGTGGACTGGCCTCCACTGTAACGCACCTGCGAGCGCAAACGCAGCTTATGCCTTCGCGTCCCTACAGTCGAGGGTACTTCCATTCGGTAGCAAATCATGGGAGCTCGGTATACCATCTTAATTCCGTCTGTGGCGTCGACTATCGTCGATATAGCGTCGGGGAGTCGAAGAGATAGCTCCGATGTTGCGTCGGTTAGCGTCGATTCGCAAGAGCCGACAAGGTGGTATGGGAAGCCCCCATGAGTTGCCACAGAACCTTGACAGTACCCTCGGTGCCCGTGCAAAAGGTACTTGGAGGTACCTGCGGGCAGCCAGGAAAGGGTACTTGAAGGTAACTGCGGGCAGCCCAGGAAAAGGTGCTTGGAGGTACCTGCGGGCAGCCCACCAAAAGGTACTAAGATGTACCTGCGGGCTGCCCAGGAATAATACCTCATACGTACCTGGGAGGAGCCGGTGGAACGCAGAGCGCGTGTGGGTTGAAAGCACGAACTTTTGGGACCGTACGACGAGGACGAGGATGAGAGCGACGACGGCAGAGACGGGAACGAGGATGGTGTCGACTATGGCGATCGGCGGCAGCGGCGGCGAGAACGAAGACGGTGGTGATGACCTGGACGGCGAGGACGGCAACGACGATGAGGACGGCGACGACATTGACGACGATGGTGACGAGGGAGGGGGGGAGGAGGGCGCCGTGAAATTAGCAAGGGACGAACTACCCAACCCCAGTCTGCACACAACGCCGACTGAACACACTAAGGGGTTTTCAATTCCCTTGAACGCCTCGCCAAAGAACGTCAAAACACCTCAAGAAACCAAGAAATGCCGACTGGATGCACGTGGCTTTCAGATCCGCTGCCCCCAGGGAATCGCGAGGTGCCGACTGGATGCGCGTGGCCCTCAGCTCCGCTGGACCTTCTCAGGTGCCCGCGACAGAGATGACAGTTGCACAGTCGGCAGCCCCCGCGGAGCCGCCAGGTGGCGACTGGATGCGCGTGGCCCTCAGCTCCGCTGGACCTCTCGGGAAGGAGCCCACGAAAGTGGCGCCCAGTGCGCCCTGGGCAGCCCCCGACAGGGAACCGCGAGGTCCTGACAGGAAGCGCGTGGCCCCCCGCTCCGCTGGACCTCCCGGGATCCCACAGAAGGGGCGACAGCTGCGCGGTTGGCAGCCACGCAGCCAGCGGCGCGAATTCTAGATCCACGCAGCTGGGCCCCAAAAGCGCGAGCAGGCAGGACGCGGGAGGGACGGACTGAGGCGGGGCAACGGGAAGAGTAGTCGCGCAGGAAGTATTCATGCCAAGAAGAGGGCACCAGCAGCTGAGGTTTGATACCAAACACGATTGGTGTTGGTGATGGTTTTCTTATTCGTTGGTTTGCTGATTGGCGCGGGCCCTCGCACCCTCCTCGCTCCCCCCATGGAGTATATCTTGATTGTTTTTGGCGCTTGTTTCAAGCAGGTGGAGTCCCCCTCCATAGGACGCACAGCTGCAAACAGTTGCATTCAGCAGAGGTCGGAGCCAGACCCCCCCCCTCCCCCCCGTCCGCCCAATGTCGAAACGCCGAATAAGAGAACGTTCACGTATTGGGCACGCCTTCTGTGGGCCCCTTCTCGTGCTCCAGGGCCATCAGGGGCACTGCACAGGATGGACAGGTTGTCCTTGGCCAGGCTCTGGCGTGACAGATTTTCAGCGCCAGAGGCTCGGGAGCAAAGACGACGAGGACGACCCCCGACGTCCGCGCCCAGTCTGAGAAGCCCGTCGAGGAGCACCTCTACAAGGGCACCATGGACTGCTTCAAAAAGATCGCCTCGGAGGAGGGCATGGCCAACGGCCCCCCCTCCGACGCCCCTCCTCAAAGCTCCTCCTCCTCCTCCCTCCTGTTCGATCCTCCTCCTCCCTCCTCTTCGATCCTCCCCGAACCTCCTCGACCCTCTGCGATTAGTTTTTTCTCCGTATACCTGATTTCTCCGTGTCGAACCCCGAGGCCAGTTTTAGGGCGGGCCTGGCGTTTCGCTTGAGACCTCACCATTTGTGATTCTGAAGGTGACAATTGGCAACAGTTTGACAGATGGAGGGCGGGTGGTTTCCAAAATGTGGCTCTCGCCGTAGCGTCGCGCACATCTTTCTTTTAACCTTGCAAGAGTTTCACGGATTGAGGGCGGGTGGTTTTTTAAATGTGGTCCTCGCCGTAGCGCCGCGCACATTCGTTTAACCAAGATTGTAAGATTTTCACGGATTGAGGGTGGGTGTGTTTCAAAATGTGGCTCTCGCCTTAGCTCCGCGTACATTCGTTTCAAACATGTGCAAAGGTTTCACGGGTTGATGGCGGGTGCTTTTCAAAATGTGGTCCTCGCCGTAGCGCCGCGCAAATTCGTTTCAGCAATTTACAAGAGTGTCACGGAGTGAGGGCGGGTGGTTTTCAACATGTGGTTCTCGCCGTAGCGCCGCGCACATTCGTTTCAAACATTTGCAAGAGTTTCACGGATTGAGGGCGGTTTCTTTTCAACATGTGGTTCTCGCCATGGCGCCGCGTACGTTCGCTTAAAGAAAATTGACAGAGGTTCACGGGTTTAGGGCAGTTCCTTTTCAAACTGTGGTTCTCGCCATAGCGCCGCGCACATTCGTTTCGAAGAATGCAAGGTTTTCGCGGATGGCCATGATCAATTTTCGAAGGGTTCAGGATTATGCGGGCGCAACAGTTATGTTGATTCGCGGTGTTGAAGTCCCAAAAATGGCGTGCTAGCACGATTCGATATCGTCTAAACGCAGCAGTCGGGCTCATCCGTGGCGTGGAAATCCCGAGAACAATGTTTTGGCATTCTTCAGGGTCTTCAAACAGTTGTCTTCCAACGAGGCAGTTCCCTTAATGGAAATGAGCCGCTTTAAAGGCCCATGAAAAGGGATTTCGGAAAGAGGCTTACGTCCAACACCCTTGATGACCCTTGGGTTTACACTCCTCCTCCTCCTCCTCCTCCTCCTCCTCCTCCTCCTCCTCCTCCTCCTCCTCCCCCTCCTCCTCCTTCTCCTCCCCCTCCTCCTCCTCCTCCTCCTCCTCCTCCTCCTCCTCCTTCTCATCCTCCTTTTCCTCCTTCTCCTCCTCCTCCTCCTCCCCCTCCTCCTCCTCCTCCCCCTCCCTTCCGTAGCCATTTCGGCTCAAAGCTATGAACCATCCCGACGACCGCGAGTCCTGCGGGGCGGCTTCTGAGCGCGAGGGGGTTCGCGCTTTGAGGCCACCATCTGTCAAAGAGCAAGTTTCTGGCAAGAGTCGGGCGGCGCAGCGCGGCGCGCCATGGCTCCTGGCGGCGGGAACAACGGCGGAGGCAACGCGGGCGCAGGCAACACGAAGCCCAAGGCCTGGGTGTGCACGGGGTGCGGTTACAAGAACCTGGGTTGGCGGGCGCAGTGCAGGCAGCCTGGTTGCGTTGCGTATCGTCCGACGTCCTATGTTCCTGGTCTGGGTGCTCATCCTGCTCCTCGGGGCAGCTGGCAGTTCGGTGCTCCAGCCGCCAGCTGGGACTGGGCACAGGCGCCGTGGAACCAGTATCGTGCTGCGGGCCCCGCTCCAGGAGGCCAAGGAGGCAAAGGCAACAAGGGCTACGGCAAGGACCAGTCTGGCGCAGGCGGCGGACAAGGTGGAGGTGCAGGGCAGCCAGCTTCACCGAAGTACGCCGTGCTTACGGACGAGGCGAGGGCCAGGTACTTGGAGATCAGCGAGGACGACTTCGCCATCTTCGCACCGGCCATGCTGTCACCAGCGGACCAGCACTCGCTGCGGCAGGCCAGGTTCCTTCTGCAGCAGCAGCTGGGTACCCTCTCGCCCAACAAGGCGATCAAGAGCGCGCAGGTGCAGGCCGATGAGGCGGGCAAGAAAGTCCAGCGCGCTCGTGACGAGGAGAAGCGCAGAGAGCTCGTGGCAGCGGAGGCGGCGGCGGCAGTGCTTCAGCATAATAAGTACATCCAGCAGCTGGACGAGGAGTTGCAGCAGGCGGTGGCCCAGGCCAAGGAGGCCCAGGAGCGCGAGGAGGCCCAGAAAGCGAATCAGGCCACTGCCATGGAAACGGACGTGCCCGAGGAGGTCGACGTGGTGGCGGCCGCGCTGGCTGCCAAGCACGGTGAGCTGGCTGAGCAGGTCGCTGATCAGCTTGATGGCGTCGATATTGGGCCTGCGGCTGGGCCGCTCAGGACGTTGCTGCAGTCTCTCGCCTCTGACAAGGTCAACCCGCCCAAGGTGGTCAAGCCGCCCGAGGTTGCAGCACCTTCCCTACCAGCGCCTGTGGCAGCAGTGCTCAAGGGCAAGGGAGGCGGCAAGGGCATCAGCAAGTAAGACCCCTACGACGGCATCACGGTTGAGAGGGACGACATCCTGCGCTTCTCGACTGCTTCGCTGGACGCTACTATTGCAGAGTTCTGCGATGGGGACGCTGACACCAAGAAGCGTGAGCTGCTCGAGCTGTTCGCCACCAAGCTGGGCAAGAAGCCTCTGGTGGGGTAACGGCTGCGGCAGCGACGAGATCTTCAAGGTCTGCATCATCAACATGAACGCGCACAGCAACCTGGACAAGTGCATGAGCGGGTCGGTGCCAGACAGTGACCTCATCATGTTCCAGGAGACGCGGCTCTCGGCTGCACGAACGGCGGATGCTGAAGGGGAGCTTCGTCGACGGGGGCGGCGTGCAGCGGGTGCCCCAGCAATTCCTTCGGAGGCACAGGCGGGCTTCTGACCTGCTCGCGTCTTTCTCACGGGCTGGCTCCGATGCTGGGTTGGCGGGCGCAGTGCAGGCAGCCTGGTTGCGTTGCGTATCGTCCGACGTCCTATGTTCCTGGTCTGGGTGTTCATCCTGCTCCTCGGGGCAGCTGGCAGTTCGGTGCTCCAGCCGCCAGCTGGGACTGGGCACAGGCGCCGTGGAACCAGCATCGTGCTGCGGGCCCCGCTCCAGGAGGCCAAGGAGGCAAAGGCAACAAGGGCTACGGCAAGGACCAGCCTGGCGCAGGCGGCGGACAAGGTGGAGGTGCAGGGCAGCCAGCTTCACCGAAGTACGCCGTGCTTACGGACGAGGCGAGGGCCAGGTACTTGGAGATCAGCGAGGACGACTTCGCCATCTTCGCACCGGCCATGCTGTCACCAGCGGACCAGCACTCGCTGCGGCAGGCCAGGTTCTTTCTGCAGCAGCAGCTGGGTACCCTCTCGCCCAACAAGGCGATCAAGAGCGCGCAGGTGCAGGCCGATGAGGCGGGCAAGAAGCTCCAGCGCGCTCGTGGCGAGGGGAAGCGCAGAGAGCTCGTGGCAGCGGAGGCGGTGGCGGCAGTGCTTCAGCATAATAAGTACATCCAGCAGCTGGACGAGAAGTTGCAGCAGGCGGCGGCCCAGGCCAAGGAGGCCCAGGAGCGCGAGGAGGCCCAGAAAGCGAAGCAGGCCGCTGCCATGGAAACGGACGCGCCCGAGGGGGTCGACGTGGTGGCGGCCGCGCTGGCTGCCAAGCACGGTGAGCTGGTTGAGCAGGTCGCTGATCAGCTTGATGGCGTCGATATTGGGCCTGCGGCTGGGCCGCTCAGGACGTTGCTGCAGTCTCTCGCCTCTGACGAGGTCAACCCGCCCAAAGTGGTCAAGCCGCCCGAGGTTGCAGCACTTTCCCTACCAGCGCCTGCGGCAGCAGGGCTCAAGGGCAAGGGAGGCGGCAAGGGCATCAGCAAGTACGACCCCGACGACGGCATCACGGTTGAGAGGGACGACATCTTGCGCTTCTCGACTGCTTCGCTGGACGCTACTATTGCAGAGTTCTGCGATGGGGACGCCGACACCAAGAAGCGTGAGCTGCTCGAGCTGTTCGCCACCAAGCTGGGCAAGAAGCCTCTGGTGGGGTAGCGGCTGCGGTGGTGACGAGATCTTCAAGGTCTGCATCATCAACATGAACGCGTACAGCAACCTGGACAAGTGCATGAGCGGGTCGGTGCCAGACAGTGACCTCATCATGTTCCAGGAGACGCGGCTCTCGGCTGCACGAACGGCGGATGCTGAAGGGGAGCTTCGTCGACGGGGACGGCGTGCAGCGGGTGCCCCAGTAATTCCTTCGGAGGCAGGTGGGCTCGCCACAGGCGGGCTTCTGACCTGCTCGCGTCTATCTCACGGGCTGGCTCCGATGCTCGGGTCAGCCCCTCCAGTGCTTCGCGAGGGGCGAGCGCTGGCACTACACCAAGCAGGGTTGCTGCCCGAAGGCGTGGTCGTAGTTAATATATAGTTGGAAAGCGGGGTCGGCATGAACCAGCACAACTACACGGTTCTCAAGGATGTGGCTCGACGTATTCGTGAATATGGCAGGTCTTTCTTGATTGGAGGTGACTTCAACTGCACAAGGGAGGAGCTCGAGACAAGTGGGATCCTGCGCTTCTTCAATGGCAAGGTGGTGAACACCGTGGTGCCGACGCGCGCCCAGTCCAACAGGGTCATCGACTACTTCATTATCTCGGCGGACCTCGAGGTGAGCAACATCGAGGTGTTGGAGGGCTCCGCCGTCTGGCCTCATCGGCCTGCGCTGCTCTCGCTCAAGGCGGCGAAGAGGATGGAGTTCATCAAGGTAGCGATGATGCCCAAGGCTTTCCCGCGGCCGCGGCCTCAATGACGCCTACGTGATGATCATGGGCCAGGCTGGACGCAGACAGCCATGGAAGTGCAGAAGTTGCTGGCGCAGCAGGGGAACCTGACGAAGGCGCGGCAAGCCTTCCTGGGGCAGGCCGAGCGCGAGTGGATCGACGTCTACCAGATCCCGGGCACCACGAAGAAGTACTGCGGCAGGGGACGCGAGCTCCAAGCACAACGGGTGCGTGACCTGCCT